CTGAATGGCCATCTGTCAGGAGGGCTTGGATTGTGTGCTCCTGCCTTGCAGAAGGGGTTGGACTGGATGTCCCTTGGAGTCCCTTCCATCTCTAGGATTCTATTGTTCTATTATTATTATTGACATTAAACAGAGGCTGCATGGCCATCTGTCGGGAGGGCTTTGACTGTGGCAGACGGGGTTGGACTGGATACCCCTTGGGGTCCCTTCCAGCTCTAGCTTTCTTTCTGGAAGCCCTCCCAAACGTCTCCGGCTTCCCACTTACGGCGCTCCAGGCGGTGTTGTACCACCGGGCTTCGCACTCGGTGCCGTGGCACGGCTGGAGGGAAGCCGGCTTCTCCAGGTGGGCACACTCCGAAGCCTCCGTCACGTTGTAATCCGCCCCCAGTTTGCTGAGGCACACCACGTCGCGCCGTTGCGTGCCGGTGCCGCAGTCCGAAGAGCACTGAGAAGAGTGGGAAACAATGCTTGGAGGAAGGAAACAACGAGCCAACGGCGTGACGCAGCAGTGACAAAGGCCAATGCCAAGCTAGGCTATTCCGATCCGCGGTCGCGCCTACTCACCGGGCTCCAGGGTCCCGTGTACCAAAGGTTCACCCTCCGGCAGGGCCCCCCGTTGCAGGCACGCATGTCGGCCGGCTTGGTGCCGGCACAGTTCTCCTGGGACTCTCCACTGGCGTCGCTGGACAGGCAGACCACCGAGCGCCGCTGGATGCCGGTCCCACATTCGGCCGAACACTGGACGGACGGAAGGAGACATGGCATGGGAAACGGGGAGGGGAAGGATTAGGCTTCCATATCGGGGCTGGGAAAGTGGAATATATTGCCTGGGAGTCTGGAATCTCCTTCTCGGGAGAGGCTTGGAGGATGGCCATCTGTCGAGAGGGCTTTGATGGTGTTTTCCTATATAACAGAATGGGGATTGGACTGGATGATCTTTGGGGTCTCTTCCAACATTAGAGGTATATTATTCAGAGGCCGGGTGGCCATCTCTCGAGAGGGCTTTGTTTGTGTCTTCCTATATAGCAGAATGGGGATTGGACTGAATGACCCTTTGGGGTTTCTCCCAACACTAGGAACATATGATTCAGAGGCTGGGTGGCCATCTCTTGAGAGGGCTTTGATGGTGTCTTCCTATATCCCAAAACAGGGTTGGATTGGATGACCTTTGGGGTCTCTTCCAACAATAGGAGTCTATGTTTCAGAGGCCAAGTGGCCATCTCTCAAAAGGGTTTTGATTGTGTCTTCCTACATAGCAGAATGGGGTTGGATTGGATGACCTTTGAGGTCTCACCCAACTTTAGAGGCTGGATGGCCATCTGTCAAGAGAGCTTTGATGGTGTCTTCCCATATCCCAAAACAGGGTTGGATTGGATGACCTTTGGGGTCTCTCCCAATACTAGGAGTTTATGTCTCAGAGGCTGGATGGCCGTCTCTCAAGAGGGTTTTGATTGCGTCTTCCTATATAGCAGAATGGCGTTGGATTGGATGACCTTTGAGGTCTCACCCAACTCTAGAGGCTGGGTGGCCATCTGTCAAGAGGGCTTTGATTGTGTCTTCCTATATTGCAGAATCAGGCTGGACTGGATGACCATTGGGGTTTCTCCCAACACTAGGAGTCTATCACTCAGAGACTGGGTGGCCATTTCTCAAGAGGGTTTTGATGGTGTCTTCCTATATAACAGAATGTGGTTGGATTGAATGACCTTTGAGGTCTAACTCAACAGTAGAGGCTGGATGGCCATCTGTCAAGAGCGCTTTGATAGTGTCTTCCTATATTGCAGAATCAGGCTGGACTGGATGACCCTTGGGGTCTCTTCCAGCACTAGGAGTATGTGATTCAGAGGCTGGATGGCCATCTGTCAGGACAGTTTTGATGGTGCCTTCCCACACAGCAGAATGGGCGTGGACTGGATGTCCTTTGGAGTCTCCTCCAACTATAATGGATATACAGAGTGCAAGGGAGAGGTACCGCGTTGCTCCACTCGCTGTAGAACCAGGTGCGGACGCAGGGCCCCATGTCGCATGCCTCGCTGGTCTTGGGCCGGTGGCGGATGGGGCAGTCGCTCTCCTTCAAGAAGGCCCCGTCATTGCCGACACAGCGCACACGGCGCGTCCGGTGTCCCATCCCACAAAGGACGGAGCACTAGAAACGGGCAAGGAGAGCAGAGAAGTTGTGAGCATTGAGAGCAAACAATAATAAATTATTATTATTATTTTCTATTTTTATTTTGTAATTATTGTCTATTATTATTATCTAATCTTATATTATTATATATTATAGTTGTTATTGTAATATTATTATTACATTGTTTTCTATTATATTATTATTTTATATTATAATATATGATTACACTTATTATATATATTTTTGTATTATTATTAATTTCTATTATTATTTTATCATAGTTTTATATTATTATTTTATATTATTTCATAATTATTATATTTTATTATAGTTGTTATTGTAATAATATTATTATTACAATTATTATTTTATATTATATTATTAGATTATTTATATTATTATATTATATATTATAATATATTATTACACTTGTTATTATATAATTTCTTTGTATTATTTCGTATTCTTATTACTTTCTATTATTATTTTATCATTATTGTTTTATATTATTATTTTATATTATTTCATAATATATATATTCTATAATTATATTTTATTATAGTTGTTACTGTAATATTATTATTACAATATTGTTATTATCATTATCATTATTTTCTATATTATTATTATTATTTTCTATTATAATATTATTTTCTATTATAATATATTATTACACTTGTTATTATATAATTTTTTGTATTATTTCGTATAATTATTCCTTTTTATTATTATTTTATCATTGTTTTATATTATTTCATATTATATATATTCTATAATTATTATATTTTATTACAGTTGTTATTGTAATAATATTATTATTTTAAATTATTATTATTTTATCATTATTGTTTAATATTATTATTTTTGATTTATTATTTTCTATTATTATTATACATTATTATAGTTGTTATATTATTATTATTTCATCATTATTGTTTAATATTATTATTTTATATTATTATATATTACTATAGTTGTTATATTATTATTTTTGATTATTATTTTCTATTATTATTATACATTATTATAGTTATTATTTTCTATTATTATTATTATATCATTATTGTTTATTTTATATTATATATTGTAATATTTTATATTATATATTACTATAGTTGTAATATTATTTTCTATTTTTTATTATTATAGTTTATATTATTATGATGTATTATTATTATTTTCTATTATTGTTTTATAATTATTGCTTTATATTATTTTATTATCTTATATTATTACATATGATTATAGTTGTTATTATATTATTGTTATTTTGTATTATTATTATGATTATGATGATTATGATGATTATGATTATGATGATGATGATTATTATTATTACCTACCTGAAATTGGGGCAAATGCAACCCTTGGGCATCCCTCTTGCTTCCAGTTTTATTATATATTATTATTATTATTATTATATTATATTTGTATTATTTTCTATTATTATGATATCATTATTGTTAAATATTAATATTTTATATTATATATTACTATAGCTGTTATAATATTATTTTCTATTTTTATTATTATACATTATTATAGTTATCATATTATTATTATTATTTTCTATTTTTTATAATTATTCTTTTATATTATTTTATTATATATTATTATATATTATTATTATTTTGTATATTATTATTATTATTTTGTATTATTATTATTATTATTATTTTCTATTCTTGTTTTATAATTATTATTTAATATTATTATTTTATTATTTTATATTATTACATATTATTATAGTTATTATTATTATTATTTTGTATTATTATTATTATTATTACCTATCTGAGATTGGGGCAAATGCAACCCTTGGGCATCCCTCTCGCTTCCAGTTTAATAGATCTGAACCCAAACATTGCCTAGGATGCATATGTTTGATTGATTAGCCCCCTCCCCAGCCCAAAATGGAAACATTAAAAAACGTCATCCAAATAATAATAATAATGCAAAATAATAATAATAATAATAATGCAAAATAATAATAATAATAATAATAATAATAATAATTCAAAATAATAATAATAATAATAATAATAATAATAATAATAATAATAATAATAAATAATAATAATAATAATAAATAATAATAATAATAATAATAATAATAATAATAATAATAATAATGCAAAATAATAATAATAATGCAAGCCAAAATCAGTGCATCTCCCTTACCGAGCTCCAGTTGGTGTGGATTTCCCAGTGGCTGCAGACCTGCACTTGGCATGTCTGGGTGGCGTTGGGCTTCTCCAGCTGACCGCAGCGCTGGGGGTGGACCATGGTGCTGCGGTTGGCATAGGTCTGCCGGCAGAGGACCTGGCGGTGCTGCGTGCCCACGCCACAGGATTTGCTGCACGCTGACCACTCGCCCACGTCCCAGCTGCAACAAAAGGAGAAATGGCATGAGCGGGATCCTAGAATCCTAGAGTTCGAAGGGACCCTAAAGGCCATCCAGTCCAACCCCCTTCTGCCAGGCAAGAAGACACAATCCGAACCCTCCTGACAGATGGCCATCCAGCCTCTGCTTAAAATATGAGGAAGACTCCATTACACTTGGAGGAAGTATACTATCAAACAGCTCTTACTGTCAGGAAGTATTTCTTTCTTTATTGATTTATATCCCACTTACAACTTCAAATATACAAATATACAAAAATAAAACAATATATTTGTAGTAATTCTATTTAATAAATTAGTATTACTATATTACCGTATTATTATTAAATATTGTATTGTATTAGTATTACGATATGACAATATTATTATATACGAGCTGTACCTGCCACACATTGCTGTGGCCAAACTTCCCTCCCTCTTTCTTTCCTTCCTTCCTTCTTTTCTTCCTTTCCTCTATTTCTTTCCCTTCCTATTTCTCTTCTTTCTTCCATCTCTACCTGTTTCTTTTCCCCCTTCTTTGCTCTTTGGTTGCATCCTTCCTGCTGTCTTTCGTTCGTTCTCTCCTTCCTTCCTTCTCTTTTTCCTTTCACTTTTTAATTTCCTTCTCTCCTTCCTTCCTTCCTTCCTTCCTTCCTTCCTTCCTTCTTCCTTCGCTGTCTTTCGTTCCTTCTCTCCTTCCTTCCTTCTCTTTTTCCTTTCACTTTTTAATTTCCTTCTCTCCTTCCTTCCTTCCTTCCTCTCCTTCCTTCCCTGTCTTCTTCCTTCTCTCCTTCTTCCTCTCTTTTTCCTTTCACTTTTAATTTCCTTCTCTCCTTCCTTCCTTCCTTCCTTCCTTCCTTCCTTCCTTCCTCCTCCTTCCTTCCGGTCTTTCGTTCCTTCTCTCCTCTTTCCCTCCTTTTTCCTTTCACTTCTTATTTCCTTCCTTCCTCCTTCCTTCCTTCCTTCCTTCCTTCCTTCCTTCCTTCCTTCCTCTTTTGTTCCTTCTCTCCTCTTTCCCTCTCTTTTTCCTTTCACTTTTTTATTTCCTTCTCTCCTTCCTTGCTTCTCTATCTTTCATTTTTTCCTTTCTTTTTTCCCTCCCTCCTTGTCTCCTTCCTTCCTTCCCCCTTTCCCTCCTTCATTCCTTCCCTCTTTCCCTCGTTATTTCTTGACTGTCTCTTCCATTTAATTGTATTATATAGTAATATATATATATATATATATATATATATTATATAACATATTATATAGTAATCTATATAACAATATATAAAATATTGTATTTATATCTTACATAGAAAGAAGGAAAGGAAGAAGGAAGGAAGGAGGGACAGGAAGGAAGAAAGGAGGGGGAAGAAAGGAGGGAGGGAAATGAAGAAAGGGAAAGAAGGAGGAAAGGGAGGGAGGAGGGAGGAAAAGAAGGAAAGGAAGAAGGAAGGAGGGACAGGAAGGAAGGGAAGGAGGGAAAGAAGGAAAGGAAGGAGAAGGAAGGAGGGAAAGGAAGGAGGAAAGAAAGAAGAGGGACAGGAAGGGAGGAAGGAAGGAAGGGAGGGAGGGAAGAAGGAGGGAAAGAAAGGAGGGGGTGAAGAAAGGAGGGAGGGAAGGAAATGAAGGGAAAGGAAATGAAGAAAGGGAAAGGAGGAAAGGAAGGGAGGGAGGGAGGAAAAGAAGGAAAGGAAGGAGAAGGAAGGAGGGAGGGAAAGAAGAGAAGGAAAAGAAAGAAGGAGGGACAGGAAGGAAGGAAAGGAAGGAGAAAGAAGGAGGGAAAGGAAGGAATGGGTGAAGAAAGGAGGGAGGGAAGGAAATGAAGGGGAAAGAAATGAAGAAAGGGAAAGAAGGAGGAAAGGAAGGGGGGGAAGGAAAAGAAGGAAAGGAGAAGAAAGGAGGGGGGGAAGAGGAAGGAGGGAAGAAAGGGAAAGAAGAAGGAAAGGAAGGGAGGGAGGAAAAGAAGGAAAGGAAGAAGGAAGGAGGGACAGGAAGGAAGGGAAGGAGGGAAAGAAGGAAAGGAAGGAGAAGGAAGGAGGGAGGGACAGGAAGGAAGGAGGAGGGGAGGAAAGGAAGGGGAAGGAAGGAAGAAAAGGAAAGAAAGGGAGGGAGGAAAGAAGGGAAGGGAGTCCTTTCGGGTGGAGTGTGGCAGAGGCAGCTACCTCCTGTGTGTGTGTGTGTGTGTTAAATGTGTGCTTGTGTTGCCGGAGACAGAGCAGGTCAGACAGAAAGGAAAGAGTTAAAAAAGAAAGAAGGGTCTACAGAAAGTCCGTCCCCCACCCGCCGGCTTCTTCCAACAGGGAAAGGTGGAGGAGGAGGAGACCGCCCTCCTGGCATAGCAGGGAAAGAGAAGGGGCTCCATGCGGCAAGCCTCCCCCTCCACTCCCATGGTGCCCACTCTCGCTTGTGTGTGTGTGTGGGGGGGGGGGCATGCGCGCGCGCCTGGCTCCTCAAGCTTTAACGGCCAGCTGTTTCCTTGCAAGGAGGAAAGGGCGTGGCCATGGGTCTCTTTGTAGACATGCAGTTTCTCCTTTGTTGACATACACTTTAGAAATGGAACGCCGGCACTCCCTAATTGTGTGATGAGTTTTGAAATGTTTTTTTCATTGATCGCACAGCCCTAGTATTGAACGTATTGGCCAGGGGTCCCCAAACTACGGCCTGCGGGCCACTTCCGGACCACCAAGGGCACTTATCCGGCCCGCGGAGGAGGAGAGCCCCCCCCCACACACACACAGTGCCCCTCCCTTGGCTGGCTCATGCTATCCGTCAGGCCCGATGGGCAGCGTGAGCCAGCCAAGGGAGGCTGCCCTGGCGCTCCATGCAGTCATGCCGGCCACATGACCTTAAAGATTGAGGAGCCAGGCACGCATGCATCCCCCCCAAACACACACACACACACACAAGCAAGAGTGGGCACCATGGGAGTGGAGGGGGAGGCTTGCCGCATGGAGCCCCTTCTCTTTCCCTGCTATGCCAGGATGGTGGTCTCCTACTCCACCTTTCCCTGTTGGAAGAAGCCGGCGGGTGGGGGAACGGACCTTCTGTAGACCCTTCTTTCTTTTTTAACTCTTTACTTTCTGTCTGACCTGCTCATCTGTCTCCGGTAGCACAAGCAGTCATGCCGGCCACATGACCTTGGAGGTGTCTATGGACAACGGCGGCTCTTCGACTTAGAAATGCACGACTGGACTTCATGTCAGAGGAAAACCTTTAACTAGGAAAATTGTGGAAGATCCAGGGTGGGAGAAAGAACTCTTGTCTGTTGGAGGTAGGTATGAATGTTTCAATTGGCCACCTTGATTACCATTTCATGGCCTGACAGTTTTTAGGGGGAATCCTTTGTTGAGAGGTGATTCGCTGGCCCTGATTGTTTATTTATTTATTTATTTATTTATTTATTTATTTGATGCACTTATTAACCGCCATTCTCAGCCCTTACGGGCGACTCATGGCGGTGTACAGTACACATAAAAAGACAGTTACAATGGCCAGTATCAACAACATCTAACTATACAACAAATACAAACTACATAAAAATCCGCTTCGTCTCTTAGTAGAATCATAACCAGTCTCATCTTCCTATACCATTCCAGATCTCATTGCCGTAATGTTGTGCTTAGCACTTAATTAAATGCCCTCTCGAACAGCCAGGTCTTAAGGCTTTTTCGAAAGGACATGAGGGAGGGCGCCTGTCTGATGTGTGCCGGGAGAGTGTTCCACAGCCGGGGGGCCACCACCGAGAAGGCCCTCTCCCTCGTCCCCGCCAGCCGTGCCTGTGATGCAGGCGGGATCGAGAGAAGGGCCTCCCCAGACGATCTCAAGGTCCTCGTGGGCTCGTAGGCCAAGATGCGGTCGGAAAGGTATTTTGGGCCGGAACCGTTTAGGGCTTTGTAGGCCAAGACCAGCACCTTGAATTGGGTCCGGTAGCAAATCGGCAGCCAGTGGAGCTGGGACAACAAGGGCGTTGTGTGCTCCCTGCTACCCGCTCCAGTTAGTAACATGGCTGCCGCACGCTGAACCAGCTGAAGCTTCCGGGCCGTCTTCAAGGGCAGCCCCACGTAGAGAGCGTTGCAGTAGTCAAGGCGGGATGTGACAAGAGCGTGTACTACCGTGGCCAAGTCAGACTTCCCGAGATACGGGCGCAGCTGGCGCACGAGCCTGAGCTGTGCAAATGCTCCCCTGGTCACCGCTGAAACCTGGGGGTCCAGGCTCAACGATGAATCCAGGGTCACACCCAAGCTGCGAACCTGCGCCTTCAAGGGGAGTGCGACCCCATCCAGCACAGGCTGTAACCCTATACCCCGTTCGGCCTTGCGACTGACCAGGAGTACCTCTGTCTTGTCTGGATTTAGTTTCAGTTTGTTCGCCCTCATCCAGACCATTACAGCGGCCAGGCACCGGTTCAGGACTTCGACAGCCTCCTTAGTAGCAGGTGGAAAGGAGTGACAGAGTTGGACATCATCTGCGTACAGATGACACCGCACCCCGAAACTCCGGATGATCTCACCCAGCGGCTTCATGTAGATGTTAAACAGCATGGGGGACAGTATGGAACCCTGTGGCACCCCACAAGTCAAGGGTTGTGGTGCGGAACAGGAGTCCCCCAATGACACCTTCTGGGTGCGACCCTCCAGAAATGACCGGAGCCACTGCAAAGCAATGCCCCCAAGACCCATTTCCGCAAGGCGCCCCAGAAGGATACCGTGGTCGACGGTATCGAAGGCCGCTGAGAGGTCCAGGAGCACCAACAGGGACACACTCCCCCTGTCTAGCTCCCGGCGCAGATCATCCACTAAGGCGACCAAGACCGTCTCAGTTCCATGTCCCGGTCTGAAACCAGACTGTGCCGGATCCAGAATATCCGTGTCTCTCAAGAATACCTGGAGTTGTGAGGCCACCACGCTTTCCATGACTTTGCCCAAAAAGGGAAGATTGGAAACAGGCCAAAAGTTATCCAATTTAGTGGGGTCCAGTGATGGCTTCTTCAACAGCGGCTTTATAATAGCCTGTTTTAGGCTCGCTGGAATCTTGCCTTCCCTTGTCTGAATCTTGTCTGGAGTTCCCCTGTGTTTGAGTGTTGTTCTTTATTTACAGTTATAATTTTAGAGTTTTTTTTTAATACTGGTAGCCAGATTTTGTTCAGACTAGAAATAGGAAGATTTCCCATTCTCTGCTCCTGGAATTACTGCCTAAAGAGGGCTAGAAAGAACCCCCTCTAAGGGCCCTTCCACACAGCAAAATAAGATATGTGCAATGTGCATAGGAATTTTTATTGATTTTAGTCCGGCCCTCCAACGGTCTGAGGGACAGTGAACTGGCCCCCAGTTTAAAAAGTTTGAGGACCCCTGGTATTGGCGAACAGAAAGGGTGTCATGTGCTTTCCGAGCCTACAGAGGGCAGCAGCATTGTTTACGTTTGTCATCATAAATTTCGGAAAAACTCACTAGGCTGGGCAAGGCTCCGTGTTGCAAACCTCTTCGGCCACAATAGGTTTGGGAATAAGGTGGCATTTGTCATCTTCCACTTCTTCCTGGGAAACCCGAGAGACGCAGCTGTACACCGACTGCCAAAAACCTGGGAAGAAAATACATTATTATTATTATTATTATTATTATTATTATTATTATTATTATTTCTGCTTTTATCTATTGATTCAGATGTAAAACAGCTCTTAACATTAAAAAAAGGACATTCCTGGCAATCATTTTTGGTTGATGAGAAAGTTTCTGCAGTTGATCAACATCTGGGCTGTATGGAAGCATTCTCTCCTGATGTTTCGCCCACATCTATAGCAGGCATCCTCAGAGGTTGTGAGGTCTCTTGGAAACTATATATATATCTGTGGAATGATGTCCAGGTGGGAGAAAGAACTCTTGTCTGCCTGAGGCAAGTGGGAATGTTGCAAATGGCCGTGATTAGCATGTAATGGCTATGCAGTTTCAAAGCCTGGCTGTTTGCTGCCTTGGGGAATCCTTTGTTGGGAGGTATTAGCTGGCCATTAGCTGTAGCATGGTCTTATAGTCTGGAAAACTCACAGCAACCCAGGCCTTCAACAACATGGTATTATTAGCCTGCTTTTACTTCTAGATTGAGATATAATTATTATTATTATTATTATTATTATTATTATTATTATTATTATTATTATTTGAAACACAACAAGATGAGTCCACAGCAGACACTCTGCTGGCTGTTGTATTAGATCACATGTCGGACACTTCCGCTGATACTGATTATTATTATTATTATTATTATTATTATTATTATTATTATTATTATTATTATTATTTGAAACACAACAAGATGAGTCCACAGCAGACACTCTGCTGGCTGTTGAATTGGATCACACGTCGGACACTTCCCAAGTGTCTAGGACTGTGTGATGTATCGGAAATAATGCGTGCAGATCCATAAGGTGTCTTATTATTATTATTATTATTATTTGAAACACAACAAGATGATCCAACAGCAGACAC